ACACACCCGATGGTATGACAAGTGGTTGAGGTTCGTCCACACACCTCCGCATACATACACAATGTCCACTTCACACTTCCTGTCCTCAGCCTTCACTGACTCCCTCGGTGGTACGAAGTGGAGCACCTTCAGGTGCGATTTCAGGCTCCAATGTTTTGGCAGCTGGTCTTGTCGTCCTGTTGACAATGTGACTGCTGTTGCTGAGTCGATGCGTTGATATGGACGTAAAGTGGCTCAGAAGGAAGTAGAGAGTCGACCTTTGCCACCTTCTAAATTAGTTTCTCAATTATCCATCCTCAATCACACGAAATGTCCTCGTTGACGCTGCAAGAGGCTGCATTTTTGTCCAGCCGACAGCACAACGTCAATATCTTGTCACAGAGGCTGTGTAAACGCTCGATCACCCCACGTGAACATCGGCTGACACCGAATGGCACCACTTAGTAGTCACAGTGTCCTCACTCACCTATTGTCACATTCACACGACAGAAGGTTCCACCAAACACTCTGTGGATGAGTGCGCAGGTAATGCAAGCGAACAAGGCCACGAGGCAGCGAGAGAGATAAGGTCATGTGAGGGAAGGAGAACACCACCACCACCACCACCACCACCACAACGACAACAACAACGCAACGCAGCACACCACACTGCACCACGGCGCACCAAGTGACGATACGCAATACACAACACAACAACGCATACACACACTGCCGCCGACGTCAATGCACAACCTCCATCAAATCAACGCCTATCACAAAGAAGTCAACAACATTCACATTGGCATCTTCACCTTCCGAAGGTGCTGTCGCTCCTCACATTCACACCTGATCCTCTACTTGAGTCCGCCTTTGCCACTCTCCTCCTTCCCTCTTCGCCCTATGATGCTGCTGTCGTCGTGTTGTGTTGCTCTCACATTATGCCGATTTCAGAGGTTTTTAAGTCATGGACATGAAGAAAGCGACATCATTTCATGTCGTGTAGAATGCAGCAAAGTCAGTCTGCAAATCACCTTCCTTCCCTCTCACATCACACGTCTTGCAGCTGTTCAGTAGAGGCGACTCATGCGACTGATTGTGACACTTCGGAAATGCCGCAACACCTGCACTCAAAACAACGCTATTTTACCACATTTCCTTGTCCCTCTCTTTTTCCTTTCTTCATTTCCTCCTCCACCTCCTTCGTCTCGCCTGCCTCCAAGTCCTCCTGCCCACTGTGACACATTTCTCGACCAACAATTCACACAAGCAAAGTGTTCATCAAAATGAGGACTGCACATCCAACAGTTAGAAGTGCATACTTCGCATTCCACTCGCGACACACTTTCCACCACACAATTGCATCCACAGCAGTCGTCGCACCGCATCGGAAGGAGGGGCGAATCTCCACTCGCGTGCCATGGCAATTCAATTCGTTTTTCGTGCCTCGACAAAACGCTTACACTCCAAGTGAATACCAACCTGCTCCACCATCCATCACTGATGCTGGCCGACAGTTGTGAGATGTCAAGTAAAAGGTGTGGAGCTGCACCATCACAGTGCACATTGAGGTGTACAGTGGATGTGGCCCATTGGCGTGCACACAGTGGCGTCACATGCCTCGCCACACCGACACCTCGTCCTCCCCTTCCGAAATGCCAAGCGATAATTCACACCGGAGGTAGCACTTCTCGAGCATCGTGAGTCCTCCTTGCAGACAATTTTTCACGTAGTTTGAGATCGAGCAGTGCCACCGAACACCTGCGTGAGTTGAATGGACGAAGAAATGCGGTGCTGTAGGAGGAAATGTGCGGACCCACATCTTCACACGTGAATTTGTTCATTCGTACGTCTGTATGTGTGTGTGAGCTTGGGTGAGTGGGTGCGAGGGTAATCGAAGGCACTGCAACGCCTCCATCGCAATGGCGTAACGCACAAAACTGCAATGAGTGTCAGGCATAGAGAGGAGTTGAGCATTGTTATTCATCCATTTCATTTTTCGCATTAATCCACATATATGTCACATCGCCTCGTTTCGCCTTGCCTCATTTCCCTCAGCACTTCGTCATTCCCACTCTCCTTACTACGTTCTTTCCACATCTTTAATCACCTTCTACTACCATTTCGAATGAATCCACTACTTACACACACCTCCGTACTCGCACACTTGCGTAGAGTGGGACAGAGCGCATCACGTGACATAGCAGTTCTCGCACTTTCACTCCTCCCCACAAACATCTGCCGCGTGAGAAATTCACAGT